GAGAGAGAGAGATCAACCACCACAATATCAACAGCAAAAACACCACTAACATCAACATCACACCCATCATGTGCACTCACACACATGCATGTACACACACACAGTATGCACATGTGAGTCAGAGTAAGAACTAGTTTTGAATCCTGCTTTTGACATTTACTGCTGAGTGATATTGGGAAAATTACCTAACCTTCCCAAGCCTCTGTTTCCTCATCCTCATCTTCAGGGTGTAAATGAGACTACTGTAGTGAGAATAAAAATGCATTGATGTGCCCTGCTGTTCCTGGCATAGGAATTAGTGCACAATAGGCCCCTGGACAGCTCTTTGAACCTAATCCAGAGCTTCTTTATATGTAACACGCTCTCACGGGGCATTAACTCCCTCTGAAGATCTGCCACCTGCACATCTGAGATCAACTTTGGTTTCACACTCTAGGATGAGGGAATAGACCAAAGTCCCTCTCTTCTCATGCTCCTATGATGCAATAACCCCCTGCAAACAACTGAGCCCTAAGTTATACAATTCATTTTGTTTCAAACTCAAAAGGAAATTGACACTGACTTGAATAACTACAAATATTAACTATCAGCTAATGAGTTTTGATTATATTATTATCCATCTCTGAAAGATACACATCTTAGAACAACAATAAGATTCAAAACCAATAGTTCCCCTCCCTACTTGAATAGGAACAAACTGAATGCATTAGCTGACTGCCATGGTCAGAGGTAGCTTATGCAAGATTATGTATAAAACAGGAGCATTGCTGATGCTGGGGAGCATGTTTAGATGTTAGGTAAGAAAAGGATCCATTTTCAAAGGGTGCCCCAGTGCTTCTTCCTCTTATTGCAAATCAGAGAATGTGTGTTGTTAAAGAAAATCAGAGATCTGCAACATCTCACCACACTCATGGTAAACAAGAAAAACAGGCAGCTGGCATTTCACAGAGCACGGTGAGTGAAGCAATCATAGAAATCAGCAACTGAGACATTCTGAGCAAGCACATTATTAGAAAACAAATCGAAGGACCTGAAGATATGGGAGAGACAAATCACCAATGGCTGCATGGAGTAAAACTGAGGTGGGACCAAGGAGACCAGAAGAACAAGAGACCATTAGATGAGCCACCCTGAGTAAGGGTCTCATTAGTTCATTAGTGAAGAGCAACGGAAAAGTTACCAAACTGTATATCACTTCTATTAAATATTAATTTAATATTTATGCACATGGTAAAATGTATAGCCCTTATTTCATACTGTATGTTAAATCTGTCTCAATAAATTATATTATCTTAATTAATTCCTAAGTTAAAATAAAATATCTAGGCATTATTACAGATTAATAGCTAGAGTTTGTTTACTCTACCTAACAATTATAGTTAGGGTTCTGGTGATCAGACAGTTGGATGAATCAGCATCAAGAAAATGTACTTTGAAAAAGTCAAAGAACTACCGAATTCAGATTTTTCCAAGAAATGAATTGTCTTCTAGACAGCAGTACTGGAAAAAAAAAAAAACCAAACTCACTGCCATTCAGCTGGATCTGACACATAGTGACCCCTCCTTGGGTTTTCCAGGCAGTATCACTATGGAAGTAGATTGCCCAATCTTCCTTCTGAGGAGTGGCTGCTGGATTTGAACCGTCAGCCTTCTGGTTAGCAGTCAAATGCCTTAGGCACTATGCTACCAGAGTATAAGGTCATAAATCAGAGTCAGAGTGGATTACATATGTGCTCCTATTTATGAATCTCACACATTATCAAGGCTATTGGACATGTTGTTCTTGTTGTTAAGTGCCGTCGAGTTGTTTCCGACTCATAGCGACCCCATGCACAGCAGAATGAAACACATCTCAAAGTAAATGATTAACTATGAGCTTTTGGGGAAACTGTTGGGTGGAACCTGTAAGAATTAGCTTCAGTAAACATAAGTATCTGCTCTACAACCATTTATTTACTGTTAATGTAATATAGTTTCTAAGGCAGCTTAGAAGAACTGTTTGAGCAATCTCCAGGAACTCTGCATGGTCTATAGATGTTTCAATATTTGCTCTTTTCTACAGAACGTGATATTCTGAACACAAGGACTATGAGTAACTCCAGAGAGAATACAGCCCCTGGGGTAAAGGGAAACTTGTCCAAGAGGGGCAGGGAAATACTCTCTTTTGTGTAGGCCCTTATACTTACAGACCCAAAATACAGAATAGACAAAACCATACAGCCCCAAACTAGCTGAAGTCACTTTCAGAAGTGATGGCTCATTTTCTAAGAGCAGTGCCATTGCCATGTGTTTTACAGGACACAAGGAATTTCTGGTTAGAATGGATTACAAATGACAGGGCTTGGTAGCAGTAGGGTTGCCATGAAATAAATATGTGGCTTGTACATTTCTCTGAAAGTGTTCTTGAGATTTTTGCCAAATATTTTCTTGTGTAATAAAGAGTCCTGAAGCTTCCTGTTGGGACCAGAATCTGTGTCAAACCATTTCTGCAGATGTTTCTTCACAGATAATGCACTGGGTGACTTTTCCCTGATGATCTTTCAGTGGATGAGTCAGTTCAATTTCTTTCCACAAGCCCTTATTATCCCCACCCCCACTCCCCATTTTTCAGTTAGACTGTGACTAAGGCCAAGCAGTGAAGTCAGCCACTTCTAGGCTGTTAAGAACCAGTCTGCCTCTTCATCTCTCTCTTCCCCTGTGGGGCAGCTGGAAACCATTCATTTTAAACATCTCAACTACAAGATGAAGGGACACTCAACCTGCATCGGATTTAGAATGGGTAAAAATCAACCTTCACTGTGCTGAACTACTGAGATTTTGGTTTCTTTGTTACTGTAACAGAGGGTATGCTAATATTTGTATTAATATTTGGCAGCAACTGAATCTCCCCAATGCTTGACTTTATGAGATAAAACTATACAGTAGATATAAAAATCTGGTAAATTGGAGAAGGAGGAGGAATACCAGGCTTAGAATTCAGAGAGCTGGTTATGGTTTGCATTTGGCCATGTTGACAGTATGACCTTCAAAGAGATCTGTTGGTGCAATGTGAAAGCCAAAAGGTTAAAACCAAAAGGTCAGCTGTTAGAATCCATGAGCTGCTCTGCAGGAGAAAGATGAGGTAGTCTGCTTCCATAAAGATTTACAGTCTTGGAAACTCTCCGGGCAGTTCTACTTGTCCTATAGGGTCATTAGGAGTTGGAAGCAACTCGATGGCAGTAGGTTTGGGATGGCATGCCTTTGGGCAGGTTGTTTGACTTCTCTGGTCCTGGGGCCCTCAACCAGAACAGTGGCTTTCAAGCCTTTTCATTTTTCATTGGTTAAAAATATGGAACCATTTCTTTAAAATAATAATAACTTTCACAGAGGCCACTATTTAAAATTATAAAAGAAAAGCTGCTTCCTGCTTTAGACCATGCCCCTGCACATCAACTTCCTGTAGGGGCCACTGTGGCATCTTTGTGGAGTTCTGCAGACTCATGGGCACAGAAGTCACCCCACTGGTTAAGCTGGCCTGTAGTGGCCCATTTATAGCTGAGATGAGTTCACAGTGGGAGCAGCATTTCTCACCTGTTCCACAGGTTGTACTGCACTCTGTCCAGTGGCCATACTGCCAGAAGTACTCCCTCTTCTCCACATCATTGTCAAGGCCATCTTTCCGGATTGTGTACTCATACTTGATTCCAGGGTTTGTCACCTGGAACAGGAGCTACCAGGCAAGAGAGGAGTCATATCAAATCTATTGTTACTTTATACTGTAAGCCACAGTCATGTGAAGCACAACACAATGCCCATCATGTTAAAGTAGTTATGGAGGTATGCATTGGAACAAGTGGCATTTAATGAATCTATATCTACAACTATATTTATTATTTATCTATCCATATCTGTACAAATACACCCACATACACTCATATATACACATGTATGTGTATGTATGTCTCCATCCCTAGGGGGTACAAATGGTTAAGCACTTGACTATTAGCTGAAAAGTTGGTGGTTCAAGCCTACCAAGAGGTACCACAGAAGACAGGCCTGGCAATCTGCTTCTTAAAATTCCTGTGGAACAGTTCTACACTCTAAACATGGGGTTGCTATGAGTTCAAATTGACTCAACAGCAACAAAAAACAACATACACACACATTAGCATATTCTCCATTGTTTACTCTATATTGGCTGAATTCCTGTGGGAATTTCAGTTCATGTAAGTGGTGAGGTCCAGTCCTATAGGGATTACTCTGAGGGAATGATGAGGAGGGTTCTTTCCAACAATAGGCTGGTAGGTCATCTTGTGTCCTTGTATATTTATTTTGTGATTATGAGTAAATTACTTAACATTTCTGTACCTTAGTTTCCCAATCTACAAAGTGAAGATAATAATAGTTCCTACTAGCAAGAGAGACTGTGAGGGTTAAATTAATAAATGAATATAAAGTGATTAGAACAGTGTCTGGTATGGGATTAGCACTCAGTAAGTGATGTTTTTACTATTATTGTTGTTGTTGTTGTTGTCTTACGAGGCCCTTCTCTAGCTCTCTGGCTGCTTAACTCCTTTAAAGTAGCTTAGTTCTGAGGTAAACATATGCAGGGGTTTCAGCCAACAGTGCCACCCTTGAGGCCTTCTCCCTCCCCTCTCCTATAAACAGTCTACTTACCACATAGCGAAAATCGTCCCAACTTCAACTTCACGGCAATGAATGAATGCTTCCTGCTACTGGAAGTTCCCATATATAAGTCTTTCCCACGTGGGCAGGGAAAGTGTAAGGCCTGCCTGACATTGATGGTGCACAGTTGCTCTCTGATTCTGAGTGAGCTCCATCAAACCTGAAAATCTGACTCCTGGGGCATGTGGTATCTCCTAGCTGGCTGGCCTCTCCTGGTGGAGCCATTCCACTTCTTTTCTACAGTTATTTGCCCCACATGGAAAACACTCACTTGTGATTTCAAAGAACACATACTGCATCTTAACTCCCTCCTCCTCCAAGAGTTTCCCAAAGGCAAACTCCGTCTCAGGATAGCCACATGATAACATGTGAAAGGACCATGCTCACCCATCACAACTATTGCAAAGCTATTTGAAAACACATGTCAGGCTGACAACAGACCAGTAACATCCTTTTTATAGTTCAGGAACAGTCGCTCTCAGCCTGTGTCAACCATACTTGACACTAAACTCAAACCTCTTAATGGATGGGTACAGAGCCCCTGGCATTTCATTATGGGGCTTTCAGGAATTTCTAAACCACTAAGGATTAAGAGACCAAATTAATATCTGGCTTCCTTTCATGTTCCTTGCCAAAAGAAGTTTTAAGAATTTTAAGAATTCTTGCTCAAAGTCCTCTAGCAAATATCTTGGAAAAGAAAACTGAGGAGATCCTAACTCATGCACATGCCAGCAGGTTCCTTGACCTCTGCATTACCTGGATCCACACTGACTCATTGGTGGGACCTGTGGCCATCAGCTTCTCCAGGTCTCCTTTCCTGTCATATTGAAAGACGGTTCCTGCCAGCTTGTAGTTCCCATTCCACTGGATAATAAATCCTCCATTCAGGTAATATTTTTCCGGGTCTTCACTCCTGATGGCCAGGAAGTTCCCAGCTCCCTCAACCTCCATTACCCGTATGTCCCTTGCTCCTTTTGGAATAAGCGCAATGTCAACATAACCTGTAGAGGGAAGACATTAATGAAAGAAGCATGTTAGCTTCTCAACTGGTCAGAATCTGTTTCTGACCCATCATTCATCCTCTTCCCAGTATCCCCTCATTTTGGGCCCTAGCCCTCCTCCTGGGTGGCCATTGGGATTGGCAGAAACACTAATTATGGGAAACTTTGAAGAGGTTAGCCAGGGGCAGTATTCTCACCAGCTAAGTAGCTCAATATGTAAACCGTTTTGTGAGGAGTGAAATCAATGCAGATTGGCCCTTGAAGCTTTTGGAATTGATCTAGCATTTATTTATTTGTGGTTTTATGTTGATGTTTCAAAATTTTATAGCTCCCAGCTTCTTGCTAGCATTTATTGTTGTTATCAGATTAGTCTTTCTAGGCTCTGCCTTAGACACATCCTTTTCCTCATCATCATTGCCTACAGGTTAAAGACAGACTCTTAGGAGTAATTTAGTCCTAGCTTCCATTCATCAAGGAAATCCTGGAGGGAAAAATCTAATTGAGTAGCTCCTGGCTCTTTTATATAAAGGCAGTGATAAGAAACTCTGTTCTGAGAGCAGCCTTTTATACTATCCTTTTATGTTACTGGACAAGAGTATTCCTTAGAAGGTGTTCCCCCCACCCCTTATTTTGTGAAATATGTATTATGTATTATAATCCAATATTCGGTAAAAGCATATGTGGACATGCATTCAAAACAATGATCAATTCTACCCACACTGTTATCCTTGCTTAGTGGTTAATTATGACAACAGGCATACTGGGAGAATTAAGAAATCCTTGGGTGGCATAAACTGTTAAGTGCTTGAGAACGAGCCCAAAGGTTAGCAGGTTGAACCCACCAGAGGTACCTCTGAAGACAGGCTTAGTGAGCTGCTTCTAAAAGGTCACGCCCTTGAAAACCCTTTGGAGCAGCTCTACTCTGCAAACATGGGGTCATCGTGAGTAGAACTGACCCGATGGCAACTGACAACAACATGCTAAGCACTTTATGCATTCATCATATTTTTGCTTCTTAGGAACCACTATCTCATAAGCACAATTGAATGGAAAGAGCATGGACTTTGAGGATGGAGTACTGGCCACAGAGTCAGAAGATTGGAGTTCTAGCTGTATTGCCACTGACGAGCTCCATGATTTTCATCAGTTCCTTTAAATGTCTTTGAATCTCAGATGCACAAGAAAGGGGATGGATGAGATGATGTCGGAGGTCTCTCCCAGCTCTAGCATTTGATGATTTTGCTCTTTTCTAAGTTACATGTTTTTTCTTCCTTTAACTTTTCATACAAAATACTGTTTTAAGAACCTGATCATCCTGGTCACTGGAAAATCTGCTATGAAAGACATCTTTAAAGTGTTAAAGAGCAAAGATGTCACTTCGAAGACTAAGGTGCGCCAGACCCAAGCCACAGTCTGGTCTATTGCCTCATATGCATGTGAAAGCTGTACAATGGATAAGAAAGACTGAAGAAGAATTGAAGCCTTTGAATTGTGATGTTTGCAAAGAATATTATATATACTGTGGACTACCAGAAGAATGAACAAATCTGTCTTGGAAGAAGAATTCTCCTTGGAAGTGAGGATGATGAGACTTTGCCTTTTGTATTTTTGCCATGGTATCAGGATGGACCAGCCCCTGGAGAAGGATACCTTGCTTGGTAAAGTAGAGGGTCAGTGAAAAAGAGGAAGACCTCCAAATGAGATGGATTGACACAGTGACTGCAACAATGGGCTTAAGCATAGCAACATCTGCGAGGATGGTGTGGGCTAGACAGAGATTTGTTCTGTTGTGCATGATGTGGGTCACTATGAGTCACAACCAACTTGACAGCAGCTAACAGTAACAGCAACATCCTGGTTATCTCCCACTGGACATATACTAGGTTTTTTGGCCAGACAAACAAGGATCTCATCTCTGCTACCTGAAAGTGACCTGGCTGCTCTCTCCTCCTCTGACACCCAAGTGGCCTGGGCCCTGGGAGCTAGCACCCAGGCGCAGGTAGCAGGGAGAGAGTGCACAGCCTCGACAGTCTGCTCAGATGCACGAGACAGGAGGCAATCTCAGACCGATTGTTTGAACCAGCAACTCCCTTCCAGAGGAACAAATATATTTGTCTTTTGGCACTTGATTGAATTTTGTTTGGCCTTTGCACACTTGCCTGAGATAGCTGATGAAAACCACTCATGTTTAAGTGCCTTGGGGAAGGTATTTTTCACATGTAATTGAGGCTAATGAAGTGTCTTTAAATGCTTTTGGAGTGTAGCTACACATAGCTATTTTCTGACTTAAGGCCTTTCATGTCTTCTGATAGCAGAACTCATAGAGGAAAATCAAGTGGCATTAAACATTACGGTTACCACTTTATCCCTTGCTAGGAAACTAAATGAAAACCAATGGAAAACACAAAAGCCTGTGCTGTTTTTCCTTGCACTTAAGAGAAACCCAAAATTAAAAGTATTTATTACAGCCAGATTCTGCCACAGTGAAAAGGCAGACACACCACATTTAAAATAGTAGCTTTCTGAACATTTTGTAAATAGATGATGTAAACTGAGGCAGATTCAGTCATGAACAAGACAAGTCATGTTTGTAAAAGAATATCTAAGAAGAAGCCAAATACAGAATTATGGTGTTTTGGAGTCGGAAAGGACCATGATAAGACAGCCTCTTTTTCATGTAACAAAAAAGCAGATAATAAAAAGGAAGAATAAAATGAAAAGTAAAGGTTTCCGTTTCCCTCAACCCCCATCTAGTGTCCCCAAATAATAATTAATAGTTTCATTTTCTTCCAAATTATCTTTCTTTTGCATGTGAAAATTCATGCACATGCATGTACACACACACAAGTTTTATACAACTGGGGTCACAGTGTCCAAACTATTTTAACCCTTGCTTTTCAAATTTAACACATCTTACATATCCTTCTATATGTTTTCAAGCATTTCAAATAGAAGCAATGACATAAACCCATTTATTTAACCAATTCCCAGTTAATGGGAAACCAAGGCCCCAAGAGAGGAAGCAATTTGTGCCATATCACACAGTGAGGGGGAGAACGAGAATAAATATAAGATGCAACAAAGGAAAAGAAAATATGTCAATACATGCATATGGCATCTACCATAATTTTACACAAATATATGTTATTTTTGGCAAACTGCACCATCCCCTCCCATATTAGTTTTCTATGCACACCCTGCACATTACATCATGAAAAAGTTAAGTGGAGGAGATTCAAGGACTTCATTGGAGTGACCATGATATTGAGAGCAAGGCATATCAAAGGCCCAAGATACGAACTCCTATCAAGAAAGAAATAAAACTGAAACATGATTTTTTTAAATATGATTTTTTAGAATTCAAGTGAATAAGGCCATATATAAATAATGGACTATATTTATAAAACACTAGACTTAGCATAGCAATGATTGTGAGGACACTGCGGGACTGGGCAATGTTTCGTTCTGTTGTACACAAGATCACTATGGTCAGAACTCACTTGGTGGCACCTAACAACAACAACAACAACAGACTTTGGAAAGATTGAAAAACCCTTAGCTGTCATAGGATGGTTACTCTTAAGCTTAAAAACCAGCAGGTTATCTTGCACATCCCTAATAAGTAATTCAAAGGATACCTTTCATCCAGAATAGAGCTATCAGTTAAGAACATCAAATACAATCCATCAAAGAGAATTCTGAAGGACAGGACAAACATTCATGTCACAATTTGATCTTATTAATTCAGTAGTCAAGAAGAGAAAGTAGGGATAAGAATTCATCAAATTAAGATCATCTGATATTATGTTCACCAAGTAACAATGCAAACAACACAACCTTGCTTGCTGAAAGTGAAGATGACTTGAAGCACTTACTGATGAAGACTAAAAACTACAATCTGCAGTAAGGATTATAACTCAACATGAAAAGAAAATCCTCACAACTGGACCAATAAAAAGCATCATGATAAATGGAGAAAAGACTGAAGTTATCAAAGATTTCATATTACTTGGACCCACAATCAACACCAATGGAAGCAGCAGTCAAGAAGTCAGACTACGTATTGCACTGGGCAAATCTGCTGCAAAAGACCTCTTTAAAGTATTGAAGAACAAAGATGTCTCTTTGAAGACTAAGGTGTGCCTAACCCAAGCCATGATGTTTTCAATCACCTCATATGCATGTGAAAACTGGACAATGAATAAGGAAGATCAAAGAAGAGTTGATACTTTTGAGTTGTGGTGTTGGTGAAGAATACTGAAGGTCCCATCGACTTCCAGAAGAACTAATAAATCTGTCCTGGAAGAAGTGCAGCTGGAATGCTCCTTGGAAGTGAGAATGGCCAGACTTTATCTCACGTACTTTGGTTTTGTGGTCAGAAGGAATCATTCCCTAGTGAAGGCTATCATGCTTGGTAAAGTGGAGGGTCAACCAAAAAGGGGAAGGCCCTCAATGAGTTGGATTGATACAGGAGCTGCAACAATGGGCCCAGGTCTAGCAAGGATTGTGAGGCTGGCACAGGACCGGGCATAGTTTCATTCTGTTGTACATTGGTTCTCCATGAGTCAGAACTGACCTAACAACAATGATAACAAAGCAACAATAGGTCACTTAATCAACTGAAGAACATACTTGGTACTCTTGAGAACATAGTCAATACCGTCATCCTGGGTAGCAAGCAGGTGGCGTGGCTTTGCCAGGACCTGAGAACAGTGCTCCACTACATCTGAAAGCATTCATTTCTTCCCATCCTGGGTATCACCCTTATGTAGCAGATATTGCCCCTCTCCCTTTTGTATGAACACTGGGCTACCCACCCCCCCATCTGCTTCTCTTTGAAGTCCACAGTGGCAGAGAAGTAACAACTCCTGACCACCAGAGTAGACTCAACCATTGACTGATGGAAGATGATGTAATGATGGGTGGGAAATCTGATGGTGGGAAATCTCAGATGCACAAGTTCTAAATGTAACTGACTTGATGACACACCTTCTTGACTGTCTTCCTTCCCATTTCATTTCCCTCACATCTTACTGGTGCTTCCCAGAATCCTCCCCACCCCAAATAATTAATACTTGAATTCTTATCTCAGAGTACACCTGAAAAAGCCTAACCGCAGATGTCCTGAGTTATATTCATCTACAGGCCTCTTGTTAGGTGCCATCACATTGGTTTTGACTCTCAGTGACCTTATGTACAACAGAATGAAGCACTGCCCCATCCTGATCTATCCTCATAGTCATTGCCATGCTTGAGCCCATCATTACAGCCACTGTAGTCAATTCACCTCGTTGAGTGTCTTCCCCTTTTTTGCTGACCCTCTATTTTATCGAGCATGATATCCTTCTCTAAAGACTCATCCCTTCTGACAACATGACCAAAGCATGAAAGATGAAGTCTGGCCATTCTCACTTCTAAGGAGCATTCCAGCTGTACTTCCTCTAAGACAGATTTGTTCATTCTTCTGGAAGTGCATTCGATATTCTTCCCCAACACAACAATTCAAATGCATCAATTCTTCTGCAGTCTTCTTTATTCACTGTCTAGCCTTTCTCCCAAGATTCTATCAACTACAAATCACTGTTGATAATAAGAGACCAACCAAACTATTTTAACTCAAGACAGATTTCCCTAGGGTCTTAGCTGATCTGGGTTGAGGGTGGACTTTCTACTTCCTAAAGACTATCAATGGGAGCTCTGGTAGCATAGTGGCTAAGGCACTTGACTGCTCACCAGAAGGCTGGTGGTTCAAACCCACCAGCCACTCCTCGGAAGGAAGGTTGGGCAATCCTACTTCCATAGTGATACTGCCTCGGAAACCCAAGGAGGGGTCGCTATGAGTCGGGGCCGACTCGACAGCAAACAACAACAACAACAAAGACTATCAATAGCCTGATGCTGCAGAAAGAAGAATCTTGTAAATGGTGGGCATGGGAAAGGAAAAATAGAGTATGGGTAAACAGGGAGATGTTAGGTGGCAGAAGTCACACAGAGAGCCATATAGGACCTTTGGGCGGGAACTCATACAGGGAGAGTTTAAGAATAAGAGTGAACTCAAGCAACCTTGCCTTGCTTCTCATTTGGCCTGGGGTAACATCCCAATTCTTCTGCTTTTAAACTCATTCTGGATTCTCTGCCCTCACTTACAGAATATGCCCTGTGTCTGCATTCTTCTACACCAGCTTTTGATCTTTTTTCTCCCACAGCTATCAATCCAGTCTCAGCCATTGGCCTTCAGCCCTGCAGCCTCTTATGATGCCTCTTCTCAAAGGAGACTTTCTTCCAGGGGATCACAGTTTTGTACTTGATCCCACGGGCGGTTTTCACATCCTCCTTCTCAGTGTGATGCTCCCTGTAAGTGCTTAACAATCAACACCTTTCCAAAAACTGCCAAAAAGCCTTTATTCCTTTGTAGTGAACGCTCTATTCCATTTTGAATTCTTTGAAAGTCACAACTCATTTGAAAAAACATAGCAATCAATCATTCACTCATCTTGCCCTCCATTCTCCATTTCCTACCACTTAGATTATGTGTTTATTTATTACCAGATCCTTCTTTCTGTTTAAACATCTTCCTCACAGTCTGACAGGCAGAGCCATCTCCAAGGCACACGCCGCAGCGATCCTCTGTGGCATTGGAATCTATCTCATAGTCACAGCCGACCATCTGCAGGGAAAAGAGATTGAAGGTGAATGACACAAACAGGAGATGCCACACCAGCCTTAGACCTTTGCCTTCTCCTTTCCTCCTTATAAGATGGAAAACAAAAACCAAACATGTTGTCATGGAGTTGCTTATGACTCATACCAACCCTACAGGACTAGAACTGCCACAGAGGGTTTCCAAGGTTGTAAATCTTTATGGAAGCAGACTGCCACATCTTTCTCCTTGTGAAGGTGCTGGCGGGTTTGAACCACTGACTTTTTGGTTAACAGCTGAGTGCTCAACCACTGCACTACCAGGACTTCTCATAATTAATTGTTTGGGAAAAGGACCATTCATAAAATGGAAGGGTGCTGAAAATACAAGAACAATGTTTCCTTTTTCTAGTGGTAGCCAGAAGAATAACCAAGGCATCCACCAACATTAAAAGAAACATTTGCTTAGAAAGGAGAGGAGTACACATTAACTGCGGTACTCATTTTCCCTGAAGTTTCAAACATTTAACACAGTTCCAAAAATTTAACTAGTAAAATGTCTTTCAATTCGAGGTGGTAGAATAGCATGTCCTTTTCCTTTGTGTGAATTTCAAGACCCATCACCTCACCGAGATTTCCCATTAAACATGACTTACTGCCTGTTGGTGACATGACTTCAGTTGAACTTTTCTGTTTCTTGTTTTCTTCTATGGTCTATGTTCATATCCTCATCTCAGTAGTAAAGAAAAAGGGAAAACTATACCATATTTCATTAGCTCTAATTTTCTTTCATGTTTGGGAAGAAAACCATGCAGGTAGGCTTCTTTTTCTTTTGTTCCCCCAGATATCTTTTATCTAGTTTTTTTTTAAATATTAAAGCCACAGCAAGTCTACTGAAAGAAGGAATGATTTAGGTCTTTCAACACATCTTCTATTAGCTAAACAGAATATTAATGATCATTGGAGCAATGAAAATAGCTCCATTCTTCAGGTTAACTACCTCTTCATTTCCCTTAGGTCCCAATAATTTGCTACTTGATCTACATGGGAAAAAATTAAAATGCTAAGAGATTAAAAAAAACTTAATTATGCTAATAACACTGGGGAAACATTGTCTAGTTGTGTCTTCAGTGGTTATGAGGAAAATGCCAAATCTTCACACGTGATATGTTTACTTTAAATTTGAGCATCCTCTAATAAGCTGACTTTTATAAATCATATTCCCAGTGACCTTCATTCCTTCGTGGGTGTGAAATGAGCCAGGGCAACTAACTCTGAGGTTTCATATTAATTTTAAAGTGTTTTCTTTAATCGTTACTAAGGAGGAGAGATAAAAAGATGTGAAGAATGAAAGAAAAGCAAGCCAGAAAAGCAAATACCTCAAGCCCAAATTTGCTTGTTTCCTGAGGAGCTGGTCATATTTCTTCACCAATATTTGCCTGTATAATGGGTGAAGAGGGGCAAAGACAAACACACACACACACACACACACACACACACATGTCCCCAAGTCACAGCATAGTAAAGGGGTTTCTATTAACGCAGTGGCTAAGGCATTTGACTGCTAACCAGAAGGCTGGTGGTTCAAACCCACCAGCCACTCCTTGGAAGGAAGACTGGGTAATCTGTTTCCCAATCTATACTCCCATCTGGTAGTGATACCGCCTTGGAAATCCAAGTAGGGGTTTCTAGGACTCAGAACTGACTTGATGGTAGTGAGAGTTGAGAATAGAGAACTCATCCAATTTGCTTCACCTGTTAGCTACATCCGGAACAGTCAAAGCTGAATGAAGTATACAACACAAGCTCTATGAAGGCATAGGGGTTATGGCAGTGTTGGTTCAGTGGCAGAATTCTCGCCTTCCATGTGGGAGACCTGGGTTCGATTGCTGGCCAATGCACCTCACATGCAGCCACTACCTATCTGTCAGTGGAGAATTGTGTGCTGCTATAATGCATAACAGGCTTCAATGGAGCTTCCTGAATAACATATGTTAGGAAGAAAGGCCTGGCAATCTAATCTGAAAATCAGCCAATGAAAACTCTATGCATGACAATGGTCCGATCTGTAACCAATCACAGGGATAGTGCAAGATCAGGGAACATTTTGTTCTATCGTGCCTGGGGTCACCATGAGTGGCAAGGGGGTGTTGACTAGACAGCAGCTAAGGACAACATGAAGCCACAAACCAGGCTTCCTTTTTGCATGTAAAGCACAAGTGTGTCTTCACCAAAGAAGACATTCAGGCAGCTAAAAACCCTTGACAAAATGCTCACAATCATCAGCCATTTTTTGTTGTTGTTATGTGCCGGGGAGTCGGCCCCGACTCATAGCGACCCCTCCTTGGGTTTCCGAGGCAGTATCACTACGGAAGTAGGATTGCCCAACCTTCCTTCCGAGGAGTGGCTGGTGGGTTTGAACCACCAGCCGTCTGGTTAGCAAGCAAGTGTCTTAGCCACTATACAACAATGAGATATCTTCTCACCCCAGCATTAATAGCAAAGTTCAAAAACAGAAAACAAAAAGTGCTGGTGAGGATGAGGAGAGACTTGAACCCTCATACACTGCTGGTAGGATTATACAGTGGTACAACCACTGTGGAAAGTGGTATGATGTTTCCTTCAGAAGTCAGAAATAAAATATCATATGATCCAGCAATCTCACCATTAGGTATATATCCTAGAGCAATAAGAGCCATGACATGAACACATATATGCACACCCATGTTCATCACAACATTATTCACAATAGCAAAAAGAAGGAAAAACCTAAATGCCAATCAATGGATGAATGGGTAAGCAAACTGATAAATACAACGGAATGTTTTTGTCAGGTGCCATCGAGTCAGCTCTGACTCACAGCAACCCTATGTACAACAGAAAGAAACACTGTCGGGTCCTGCACCAGCCTCACAATCCTAGCTATGCTTGAGCCCATCATTGCAACTACTGTGTCAATCAGTCATATCAAGGGTCTTCCCATTCTTCACTGACCGTCTACTTTACCAAGCATCATATCCTTCTCCAGGCAGTGGTCCCTTCTGACAACATGACCAAAGTAGGTGAGACTAAGTCTGGCCATCCTCACTTCCAAGAAGCATTCCGGCTGCACTTCTTCCTGGACAGACAGATTTGTTTGTTCTTCAGGCAGGGAAACACTGTTCTGGCAGTCCATGGTATTTTCAGCATTCTCCACCAACACCACAATTCAAAGGCATCAATTCTTCTTTGGTCTTCCTCATTCATTGTCCAGATTGCACATGCATAGGAGGCAATAGGAAATAACATGGCTTTAGCCAGGTGCACCTTAGTCTTCAAAATGACATCTTTGCTTCTTTATACATGAGAGAGCTCTTTTGCAGCAGATTTTCCCAGTGCTATACAATAGCTGATTTCTTGACTACTGCTTCCATGGGTGCTGATTGTGGATCCAAGGAAAATGAAGTCACTGAAAACTTCAATCTTTTCTCTATTTATTGTGATGTTGCTTATTTATTGGTCCAGTTGTGAGGACTTAGGTTTTTCTTTATGTTGAAGTGTAAGCTGTATGCAGACTATAGTCTTTGATCTTCATCAATAAGTGCTTCAATTTATCTTCACTTTCATGAAGAAAGGTTGTGTCATCTGCATATCACAGGTTATTAATGGTTCTTCCTCCAATTCTGATGCTGCATGCTTCTTTATATAGTTTAGCTTCTTGGATTATTTGCTTAGCATATGGCTTTAATATGGTGAAGGGATACATCCCTGACATACACCCTTACTGATTTTAAACCATGCAGTATCCCCTTGTTCTGTTTGAATGACTGCCTCTTGTTCTGTGTACAGGTTTCTCATGAGCACAATTAGGTGTTCTGGGATTCCCATTCTTTGGAATGTTATTGATAATTGTTATGATCCATACAGATGAATGCTTTCTCATAGTCAATAAAAACACAAGTAGATATGTTTCTAGTATTCTTTGCTTTCAGCCAAGATCCATCAGACATCAGCAATGATATTCCTCATTCCATGTCCTTGTCTGAATCCAGCTTGAATTTCTGGAAGTTCCCTGTCAACATACCATTGCAACCATTTTGAATTATCTTCAGCAAAATTTTACTTGCATGTGATATTAATGATATGGTTCGATAACTTTCACATTCTGTTGGGTCACCTTTCTTTGAATTGGGCACAAATATCAATCTCTTCTAGTCAGTTAGCCAGGTAGCTGTCTTCCAAATTTCTTGGCATAAATGTGTAAGCACCTCCAGGACTGCATTTGTTTGTTGAAACATCTCAGTGGGTATTCCATCAATTCCCAGAGCCTTTTTTTCACCAATTCCTTCAGTACCATTGATTCTTGATCATATGCCACCTCTTGAAATGGATAAACATAGACCAATTCTTCTTGGTACAATGACTCTGTGTCTTCCTTCCATCTTCTTTTGATGTTTCCTGAATCATTCAATATTTTGCCCATAGAATCTTTCAATATTGCAACTCTAGTCTTGACTTTTTCTTTCAGTTCTATCAGCTTGAGAAATGCCGAGCATCTTCTTTGCTTTTGGTTTTCAAATTCCAGGTCTTTGCATATTTCACTAGAAAACTTTGCCTTCCCAAGCTGACCTTTGAAATCTTCTGTTCAGTTCTTTTATATCAGCATTTCTTCCTTTTGATACTCTCCATTCAGGAGCAAGTTTCACAGTCTCTTCTGACATCGATTTTGCTCTTTTCTTCCTTTCCTGTCTTTTTAATGACCTTTGCTTTCTTCACGTTTAATGTTCTTCTTATTATTATTGAATTTATATTGTGATTTGGGTGAAAGTGTACAGAGCAAATTTACCTTCCACACAGCAGTTCATACACATTCTGTCTCATGACATTGACTGCAATTTCCCGTAATGTAACAGCCTTCTTCCCACTTCCTCCCCATAGTTACCTCTTCCCTCCCATGCACTCCTGCTCACCGAGCTGTCTCACTGTACCAAGTATGATGTTCTTGATGTCATCCCATAACTCATCTGGTTTTTGGTCATTGGTGTTCAG